CGAGGAAATGTTGTCGCAGAACGCCACGATCGCCGATGGCACATTGCACAAAGCAGAGCTCGCCGAGGAGATGCCGTAGCCAGAACACTCGGACACACAGCGTTGGCGATGGCGCGGTATTCCGCCTCGGCGCTCGACCTTGAAACCGTGGTCTGCATCGTTTGGGCGACCACGAGATAAGGGAGGAGCCAAGGAAGATGCACGATATCCGACGTGGAACGCCTGGTGTCCGGGCAGCCCGCCCGATCCAGCGTCCGGTAATCTGCGGTGATGATCGCCGCGAGGAGATGGCGCGCAGCTTGAACACCGAGATGAGCCGTGCCCTTGATGTACCGAAGAATGCGCTTGAGCATGGTGAGGTGCACATCCCGCGGCGCGTGCATGTGGAGGCGGACTGTTGCCGCTGCGCGTCGCGATGTCGGGCGGGTTATCGTCCGAGATATTGGAGGGCACCGCGAGGCTGCGATAGGTGGTGGCGTCGCCGATGAGTGTGCCGTCCGCCCGCGAGACCTTGCCTTCGTGGTTCTGCTGGAGTGACGACAGAGTTGCAGTTCGCCATGCCGGCGCGTTCCAGCAGGTCCTCGGCGTACTACGTCTGGGAGAGGAAGAAGCCGTGGGCGGTTCGTCGAACGCTGATGCCGAGGAAGTGGTGTACGGGTCCCATGTCCTTCACCTTGAAGGCGTCTTGTAGCCGCCTGACGAACTGGTGGAGCAGCGCCAGAGCGATGCGGAGAGGATCATGTCATCCACGTCAGAGAGAGCGAGTAAGCTCAAGCGTCGGCGTGGTTGTACACGAAGAGCGAAGTGTCGGCTCTGGACTGCACAAAGCCAAGCGAGGTGACGTGCGCGACGCAGCGGTCGAACCACGCTCGAGGAGCTTGGCGTAGTCCGTAGAGGGAGCGCGACAGGAGGCAGACATCATCGGGCCGTGCGGGATCGGCGAAGCCCGTGGGTTGCTGACAGTATACGCGCTCCTGCAGATTGCCGTGCAAGAAGGCATTGGAGACATCGAGTTGATGAGCAGGCCACTTGCGCGATGCCACGAGCGTGAGGACGGTGCGGATGGTCGCCGGCTTGATCACCGGGGAGAAGGTTTCGCCAAAGTCGATGCCGGGCCGTTGATTGAATCCGCGCACGACCCATCGAGCTTTATAACGCTCAAGAGTGCCGTCGGGGTTCATCTTGTGCTTGAACACCCACTTCCCAGAGATGATGCGCGCGCCGGGTGGCCTGGGGACGAGGGTCCAGGTCTGGTTGGCCTGCAGGGCGTCGTACTCAGCTTTCATGGCCGCGTACCAGTTGTCGTCCTTGAGAGCCGAGCGGACGGAGCGGGGCACCGGCGAGAGTGTGCCCGAGGCCGCCAGGGCATACTTGGGGTTCGGCTTGTGGATCCCATCACGTGCGCACGGTGACCATGGAATGACCGGTGGTGGCGGTGGACGCTACGGCGGTGCGGCGATGGCGATAGCGGGGGACGATGCCATGGGCGACGTGGTGGGCGGCGTCGGCGTTGGCGTGGGCGATGCCGCGCGAAGTCGATGCGGAATGTTGAAAGTTGAAGACGACGCCACGGGCTGTTCGGAGGCACCTCTCGAACGCACAGTCCGTGCGCGCGTCGGGTGCGGAGGCAGCTCGGTGACGAGTTGTGGCGGCGTGTCGTCCTCAAGTTGAGCTGGTGGTGGACGGGGCACAGGGTCGGCGATGTGGTTGTGGCGGAAGGGGAAGACCGCCTCGTCGAAGACGACGTGCCGAGACGTGATGACGCGGCCGGTGGTGATGTCGTAGCATCGGTAGCCGCGATGATCAGCGGGGTACCCAATGAAGACGCACGCGGTGGAGCGTGGGGCGAGTTTGTGCGCCGACGTGGCGAGCACGTTGGGGTAGCAGCGACACCCGAACACCCGGAGCTCGTCGTAGCTTGGTGGCACGCCGAAGAGGAGGGAGTATGGCGTCGCAGATGCCGTGGTGCGGCATGGACGCCGATTGATCGTGCGTGGCCGTGGCGGCGCCTCGGCCCGAACGCCAGGGAGCTGCACTTGTGAATCAACGAGTTCTAACACGGTCATTAGTGGTGCGCGGGATGCGTTCCGCCTTGCCGTTTTGCTTGCGGCGACGTAGGGACACGAGTCGGAACTGAATGCCGAGAGTGGATGAAGAAGAAGGCGCATGGCATAGGAATCATACTCACGGCCATTATCTGTCTCTGAAATGAGAGAATGGGAAGGCGAAACGAGTCTGAACATAAGCAATGAAGGCGCGTATTGTCGTAAAAAACGTCGGACTTATTTCGTGAGAGGAACAGTCCAAAGATAGTGGGTGTAATCATCAAGAAAAATAACATAGTATTTGTACCCGGAATGACTATTATGAGAGAGGTCCAAACATCTCGAATGCACTACTTGAAAAGGAAAAAAAAGTTTGGGATGCGAGAATTGTGGAAAGGTAACGGGTGTGCTTGCCCAAGCGGCAAGAACTGCAAGAGTGGCCATCAGCCTTATTACAGGAAAAGGAAAAAGTGTGTAAAATCTGAGAATTAACAGGTTGTCCGGGGTGTCCGAGCGCTGATGCCACAGGGGACGCCGTTGATGATGCAAAGAGGGCTTGATGGTGAGGAAGGCGCGCGGGGTAGATCGCCACTTGCTCTCACATCGAGCATCTCCTCCTGGAAGGAAGATCCTTTATGGAAAAACCAGCAGGGTCAAATTTAATTGAAACATTGTTTTCACGGGTTAATTGACGAACTGAAATCAGATTCTTGATGAGTGAAGGAGAAACAAGGACATTGTTTAAATGTAAAGGAGAGGAAGCTGTGGGGATTACAGTGTGTGCTCGGTGAGTAACAGGCAACCGAGCACCATTGCCCACTGTGATGGAAGAAGACGAAGGACGAAGTGTATGGGAGGGGAGATTACCGGGGTTGGAGGACATGTGTGACGTGGCACCGGTGTCGAAGTACCAGTCGGACGTGCTCTGCGGCTGATGTGGAACGCCGGCTGAGTGGAGTGCAGCGTAGAGGCCCCCGGTGTCGAAGGAGTTGGCGGAGCCGTGCGGGGACGGTGGCTGCAGGTGAGAGGCCATCATCGCCTGCTGAGGCTGGAAGGGCGGCCGCGGACCCAGGACTCCCGCACCCGGAGCACGGAAGGGCATCTGCCATGCCTGCACCATACCTTGCCATGGGTTGAAGCCCGCGGCGTAGGGCGCGCTCTGGGCGTTGGAGTTGTTGAAGCGCGCGTTCCCGCCGCTACCGCCGCCGCCGTTGCCCTTCTGGCGGCGCCGGTCGTTGCGGTTGTTGTAGCGGCCGCCCCCGCCGCCGTTGTTGTTGCGGTTGGAGCGCGGTGCGGACGAGCCGGAGGAGCCGTCGTTGGAGCCAGTCCCGCCGCCATTGCCGGAGGAGTTGGAGGATCTGGCGGAGCGGTCACCATGGGTGACGGTGAGCGCCTGCCCGGCTTCGGCGTTGGCGTCGTGCTGAAGGCCGAGTTCCTCGAGGAGGAGGAAGGAGCGGGCGCTCTGGAAGGTGTGCGGCGGGTACTTGGAGGTGATGACCGGCTTGACGTAGCGAAAGCGCGGGCTGAGGCCGCGGAGGAGGTTGAGCACCATGCTTGGTTCAGAGACCGCGTGGCCGATGTCGCGCAGCTGATCGGCGAGGCGCTTGAGCTTGGTGCAGTAGTCGCCGATGGACATGTCACCTTGCATCAGGGAACGAAGCTCGGCCTCCAGGTACACGGCGCGCTGCATCTCGTTGTCCTGGAAGAGGCTGGCGATGGCGTTCCAGAGGGTGAACGCGTCGTGGCGGTCGTTGCGCACGGTGTCGAAAACGCCCTTGGAGACGGTGGCGAGGATCCAGTTGACGACGCAAGAATCGATCTTGCGCCACTCGCCATCACGATCTTCATCAGGGGTGGAGGTGAGGACATGGCTCTTGAGCCCGAATTTGCCAAGGGTGGAGTCGGAGAAATGGCGCCATCGGCGAAGTTGGCCTCGTCCATGTCAAGGATGACATGAACGTGGTGACGGATGGAGATGCCTTGGATGCGGGAGGAGGTGGAGCGGACGGAGCGGCATCCTCCTCGCCGGTGGAGTCGAGAATCGAGTGATGAGAGGAGGGAGCCATGGGCAGCGGAAGAGGAGATGTGGTCGAAGGACGCGAGAGGAAGACCTAGGACGGTGATACCATGTAGAATAGGATTATGCAACTGGATGATCATATTCATTATACACGCTTTACATATATAGGCCTTTGGCCATGGCTGTATAAGCGGTGCGCACAAGAGCGAAGCGGAACGAAGCGGCCTAGCGCGAGTGGAGCGCGTGAGCGAGCGAAGCGGCTGCCTAGCATACGCACGGGGGCGCGGACGCCGTCTTGGCGGCAGCCGCTCTCGGAAGCTGGAGCCGTTGGCGTCGTGATGTTTGAAGACCGGGCGCGGGCGCTAAGCCACCGTTGGTGGTATTCGGCCCGACAAAGAAGCCGGGCATCCGTGAGTGGTGAGGGACGAGGCCGGCGAGCCATACATGATGCCCAACACGGCGTTCGACGTCGCGATGCTCGACTTCACCAACCCGGAGGCGCGCGCTGGTTCAAGAGCATCGTTCTCCTGCACGGATGATGGACCATGGCGTCGGCGGCCGGATGGCTGACTTCGACGAGGCCTCTGGGCGTCGCGGCTGCCCTCCAGCGAGGAGGACCGCGTCGCCGCACACAACCGGTACCCCGGAGCTGTGGTAGCGTCAACCGCGAGTTCGCGGACGACGAGTGGAAAGCCCGCTGCTGCCTGCGGCGCGAGGCGATGAACGTGATGGCGCTGGCGGCGGCGGCGCAGGACGAAACGACGGCCTAGTGTTCTTCGTGCGGTCTTGGTTCCGGAGAGCTCCCGATGGGCGATCTTTGTTACGGGAGGCGACGGATGGTGAGCTTCGCAGAAAAACATAAGTTGTCGCGCCAAAAAAAAAGAAGAAGAAACACCGCTGCTTTTTACGCTTAAGAGGCCGTGTTGTTTGGCGGAATGACGCCGAAAGGAGGTGGAGCGCTGGGCTCAGCTGGTCCGTTGGATGGCGAGGAACGGCGGGGGATGGAGCGATCGCACACCGGCGATCGTGAGGGTCGACTGCAGAGGATTTGGTTCCTCCTTAGGCCTGGCATGTTTTTTTTTAATTATTATTCGTATCCGGATGTTGGGGGATGCGGTTTCTGATGCGCGCGCCGCGTTTGTTGCCGTGATTTCCTAGAGATCTGGCGGACTGATTCGTGGTTGAGGCAGCACATATTTTGTCCGATGGTGAGGCATATGGATATGGGATTGGTAGGGGGTTTAGCTTGTGGGGGTTGGATTCTACACGGGAAATTAACTATTCGTGACCTGATTTGGGGTTGTTAGGCCTCTCTGGAACGCAGGAATAGGAACACATAGGGATAGAACGCGATAGAACGCTCTAAGCCAACATCTTGAATCCTATGGATGACACAAAGGAAACTTTCCATGAGGTTCAACCTCTTTATTAAATTCCTCCAAAATTCCTATGAAACAGGCCATTCCCTAAGAATTTCATAGGATTTGTAAAAACCCAACCCTTTGTTCCAAAAGGGGTTCATAGGAAATTTTCCTATAGGATTTCAATCCTCTTGTGGGTTTTGGATACTAATCGGGGAATTGTTCGATTTCCTTCCCTGGGATGCAGTTTTGTTACCGGCAAATTTTGTGTTCTTTGTCAGCCCAGCCGTAAAGGCCATAGTATCATCTGCCGATAGTACCATTGCAACAAGGATCTACTCAACAGTACTGTGAGCTGTTTGGGGAGGATATGTTTAATCACTGTTTAGTTTCTGTCTTTCTGATGAAAGGTTAAGGAGTGACTCAAGAATAAAATGTTTAAATATGTGTTGCAGTTTGTGCATGATTTTAATTCGAAGCTATTTGGGATAGGATAATGGAGTAGATCTTTTCAACTTAAAATAAAAGGTGTGCTCCTTTCCAAAACTGGCATTGTGTTGATCTAACGTTTAGTTAGGACTTAGGAGAGCAGTGGGATACCCATACCCATGTGGTTGAGGAATCTAGGTGCAATCTACAGTTTTGAGGTGCATTGGAGGTTGACTCACTTCTGTGCATGTGTTTCTCATTAGTATAAAGTGCCCCCCTTTTTTTTCAGTGGTTACAATTTGCCAAGTGCTGGCTACATTCCTTGACTTGCTGTTGTTGTGTTATACTTTATGTTATAAAGTAAACTTCCTTGTTTCTATTTATTTAAATGACTTCTTAATTCTTATTGCCCTGTGCTTTCTGCAGGTAAAACCACATTTGTGAAGAGGCATCTTACTGGCGAGTTCGAGAAGAAATATGAGCGTAAGTCTCATGATTGTTATTGTGCGTCTCATCATTGGCTTGGGGAACACTGAACTTATAATAATCTGAACTTTTGTCCTCCATTGCAGCCACCATTGGTGTTGAAGTTCACCCTCTGGATTTTAGCACTAACTGTGGCAAAATTCGCTTCTATTGCTGGGACACTGCTGGTCAAGAAAAGTTCGGTGGCCTCAGGGATGGCTACTAGTAAGTGATAAATTCATATTTCATTCAATTTGTTTATTTATGTTCATGTGAAGCTCAGTAAATATGCATACTATGTTTTCCTGATTGCTCCAGGCTGCAATACACCTTTTAGAGGTTGTCATTGGGTATATTGGAACTTTCTTTATTGATGAAGTATACTTCAAGAAAGTTAGATATGGTTTCCATTCACCCTGTACATGGTCCGGTTATAACCTGGACCAGCCCATGAACCAGCTCACAGCAAACCGTGTTTAGAAACACATCCGGGTTGGTTTTGTGCTGGTTGGTTTGTACTCAACCCGTCAGGTAGGTTGTCTTCTTCCTCGCAACGCATCTGTCAGTCCTCCAGCTCTCCTTGCTCATAGAGCAGGTGCTAGTCAGAGAAGCAAATCGACTGGACTTCTCGAGCTTGCCCACGGCCAGGAAGCACGCCAATCTCGGATTCTCAGTGAACGGTGATGGTGAAGGCGGCCGTGGACCCCATCCCAAGCCCGTGTGCACCATCCCGTGCTGCACCTGCTTGACGGCGCGCACTGCTGCCAGCCACTTCAGATCGTTCTGCGCCAGCGCCATCGGCGCAGACTGCGCACGGCCGGCCTCTACGCGGGTGAGAGCTGAGGCGACATGGACCACCATTGCCGCGCATGGCGGGCGAAAGATGAGGCGGCGAGCAGGTAGTTGAGATGGAGCGCGTGAGAAGCCATGCCATTATTGCCGGCAGCAACGTCGGCAGCGGCGCTGGTGCTACCGTGAGGGAGCGGGCGATTGGGGCGGACCGGCGGAGGGGAAGGTAGGTGGCTTGTGTCGTGTGTTTCCTGCCACCGGGTTGAAACCGTGAACCATGGGTATCAAACCGCTAACATATCATCTCCGACGGGTTGGGTTAGATTTTACCCAAAAACCGCCAAACCCGGACCATGTACAGGCTGAGTTTCCATAGATCACATCTTGGGATTCTTTTTGATAGTTTGAAAAATTGTTGACATATCATTATGTTTTGAACCCACATAAGACCTTGCTCGGGTTGGTGGGGATTGGATCCCTTTCAATCCCCTTGGGGGGAGGGGATTAACTGAACAAGCCCTAAATGGGACATCATGTCCGTATCCGTATATCCTGACACTTTTAATGGTTAGCTAGTATCCCATCAGCACTCTTTTAGGTGTGTAATGCAGTTTTTAATCAGTCTCCTATAACTATAACAAGCTTTTGAGTTCTAATTTATGGATGGTTGTCTAGTCTTCTATAGCGAGCTTTAACCATTTTTCATTCAATTAGTGTGAAGTGTTGGACTTTTTCATTCATTTGGACTTGTCTAACTTTCTTGAAATTCCAACCATCTCGCAGCATTCATGGTCAGTGTGCCATCATTATGTTTGATGTGACTTCGAGGCTGACATACAAGAACGTGCCAACATGGCACAGGGACCTGTGCAGGTTAGTGTATTGGTACAATTTGGGTAAAAGGTTAGCAATGGTTATGTCGGAGATTTGCTAAACATCCAATCTTCGATTGCAGGGTGTGTGAGAACATCCCCATTGTTCTGTGTGGTAACAAGGTTGATGTAAAGAACAGGCAAGTCAAGGCCAAGCAAGTTACATTCCACAGGAAGAAGAACTTGCAGTACTATGAGATTTCTGCCAAGAGCAATTACAACTTTGAGAAGCCCTTCCTTTACCTTGCAAGGAAGCTGGCAGGGTAATTAGATATTTTGTTCTCTTCTGCTGTGCTAACTTGGTACTGGTGTTTATACACTGCAACAACCCTTTTGCTGTGCTTAACTTGGTACTGGTCTTTATATGTTTAGGGATCAGAACCTTCACTTTGTCGAGGCTGTTGCTCTGAAGCCACCAGAAGTGCAGATTGATATGGCCATGCAGCAGCAGTAAGTGCTTCCATCTCTTCCTTTGATACCTGGCAACAGCAAAAAATTGACTTAGTGTCCAAATGTTGTCCTTAAAGTACTTCACTAGACTTGAATTCCATTGGGATTTGCTTGAATTCTCACAATTAGCACCATTTAACCGTTTGCTAACTGCACCTTTACCCATGATCTTAGGCACGAAGCTGAGCTTGCTGCTGCCGCTGCGCAACCCCTCCCTGATGACGATGATGACCTGATCGAATAGTTGTTATCAATGGCCCTTGTTGTTGCGATGGGGGAACTTTTTATAAGAATTCGTGGTGCTTAGAGTTAGGCTGTACCTGGATGTTCTCTTGATGTATCCCATGAGTTGAGAATGAAGTTAATGACATCTGTATCCTGTTGTTGACGAGGGTTTTTGGTGATAATACAGCGCCATTGTCAGGCAGTACGTTTCAGCACTTGATTGTGCCTTTCTGTTTATTGGTTAATTGGTATTCTCGATTGATTGAAGCGGGGTTTGTAGTATGAACGAGGACGAGGAATTCGTGGGGCCATGGGGGCTGGGTTGAGAAGCTGCTTCCATTCCTAAATTTACATTTTTGCGAGGAAATTAGAGCTTTATTACTCAGGATTTAGGTTACAATCCTGCTTGATGCACAACGGTGAATTAATCTGAACAGTTTAGTGTTGAGTGCGTTACACCAATCAACTACGGTAATGCTTGACCAGCGTCCTGCTTCCGCTATTATGAAGTCCAATTCGGACCTCGACGCTGGAGACGACAACAATTCTGCGACGTTGGATGTCCCTTTGCAGGATCAACCATTCCGTCGACAGGAGGAAACCCACGCGGTAGACGCACCTGGATCCTTCGCCCTCATCAAATGAACGACGGAAGGGCCAGCGCCCAAACGTCCGAAGGATGTCGTGTCTGGACACAGCTCCCCCACCCCGCATCTCGTCCCACGCCCTGCATCCGCATCCTGCCCAGCGCCAGCGTCTGCGTCCGTCGCAGGACCGCGCTCGCATGGGGAACCCACGTGGGTTGACCCATGGCTGCGCCCCAGCACACAATAGGCGGCCGCTGTCCTCCAGCCACCGACGTCGTGCGACACCCCGATCTACTTTGAAACATTCAGATGAAACATTTGCAACATACGTCTGAAACAGATGAAACACTTGAAACATGCGTATATAGGCATAGTAACATATATAACATCCGGATCTACTTTTACAACGTCCAGATAAAACACTTGCAACATAAGTATGAAACATATGAAACATTTGAAACATGCTGGTAGAGCCATAGCAACATATGCAACATCCAGATGGAACACTTGAAACATACGTCTGAAAACACCTAAAACACTTGAAACATAAGCTTGCAACATGCGTATATTGTCATTGTAACATAGGCGACATCCCATATCTACTTTTGCAACATCGAGATGAAACACTTGAAACATAAGTCTAGAACGTCTGAAACACTTGAAACATAGCACCGCCGGTGACCACAACCTACCTGTGGAGAACTGTGGTAGACAGCAAGCTCAAGTCAGGGGGGTGTCGAAAGCCGTCTAGCTGATAGGTCATTGTTTGGTTTTGTTAATTGAGTGACAACCTTAGGTGGACTCATATGTGTTTGAGTAAGATACACAGGTGATTAGTTCATAGTCACATCATGTGTGGGCAACCTTTGCCATGGAGGTGAAATGACTTGGAGATGTTGCAAAGCTTACACATGTGATGAAAGATCTCATTGTATATGAGACATGACATGAAGTCATGTGATCAAGGTGGAGAAGATCAAGACAAGACTTGGCTCGACGGACCGATTGCAAGTGTGAAGGACAAGTTGAGTGATGACTTGGCGCCGATAGACCGAGGCAATGATGAAGAGCAAGTGAAGTTAAGATCAATGAACCAACAAGGTCACGTGATGATATGAAGTGGATCATATCATTTATGATATAGTTGGTGCATGTGTTGCATCGACATCGAATGAGATGGAATGGAATGCACAAGGCAAAGATATAATCTATAGGGTATTTCATTTCACCGGTCATAGGTGTGTGGAGAAGTTTATGATCGGGTTTAGGATAGATGGCCGTATTATCAAAAGGAGCAAACTTGTTTGCATATCGGTCATCTAGTGCCATTGAGTGATCTAACTTTGCATACGTGTTAGGATCGAGTGGCGAGGTGAATTGAGTGATTAACTCCTTGAAAAATGTTTGTGAAAAGTTAACACACGTGCACATGGTGGTGTACACTTGGTGGTGTTGGCACATTTGCAAATGAGAAGAAGTTGGAGTTGATGTGGACCAACTCGGTGAAGAAAAGGAGGCAAAAAGAGGTCACTGGAGATGATCGGTCGCTGGCTCCGAAAGGATCGAACGTGTCCGGTCAGTGCTGCAGTGAAGGCGTGGGCGTCAGTCTGTGACCGGACGCTGGCGGTGCGCAGGATCGAACGCGTAGGGACCGCGTCCGGTCGTTGGTGACGTTCTCTGACGTAGCGCGGTGGCATTTGATCAGCGAGATCAGACTCTGAGGAGCGTCCGGTCATGGTCCCTCGAACGCGTCCGGTCATGGAATCGAGGCTCTAGGAACTCTCTGTTCTGCACCGAACCCTGGCTGGGGTGGCGTCCGGTCGTTTTGTCTAAGCGTCAGGTCAGGGCGCTGTGGTGCGTAGGGGCGCGCGAGCGGACGCCGTGGCGGTGCGTCCTGTCTCGCCTGGCGCGTCCGGTCGTTACTTGACCATTGGTGCACGGCTAACGACCGTTGGGATCGAGCGCCCTGGTTGAATCCAGGCGACACGTGGTCGGCTAGGAGGGACCGGACATAGGGCCTGGCGCGTCCGGTCGCTACGAGACTTGCCTAGTGAAGGGCTAACGGTTCTTTTGAGCCGTGGGACTATAAATAGAAGTGGTGGTCGGCCTTAGGCCGGGAGCTGAGCACACTAGAGCCTTGGTGGCTTATGTAGTGGTGCTTAGGAGTCTTCTAACTCACTTGTGCTTAATAATGATCATCCGATCGAGTGAGTGAGCGATTATAGTGCGATTGCATCTTGAGGTTTGCATCGAGTGGCACCAGGTGATCGAGTTGCAAGCCGGTGGTGCTTGTTACTCTTGGAGGCTGCCACCTCCTAGACGGCTTTGTGGCTTGTGACTTCGTTGAAGTACGCAAGAAGATTGTGTGGTGCTCCGGAGGAGGATTTCTGAGGGGGATTATGCCCACCCCGTGGAGATCGTGAATAGCAACTCTAGTAGAGCGCGTCATTGAGCTACCCTCACTTTTGGGGTAGGTTCTTGCGGTGCCCAACGTGTGGGCTTGGAGGGTGATGCCAATTAGCCGCCGAACCACCAAGTGAGCGGTCGACACAATGGGGACTAGCGTATTGACAAGCACGTGAACCTCGGGATAAAATTATCGTGTCATCCTTGTCTTCCCGTTGGTTTGCATCCTTGTTACACAAGCTTGTATTTACTTTCATATACTTGTGCTTGTGTAGTTGCTCTAGTAATTAGTTGACTTATGTAGTTGGCTAGTTACCTTCTTGTTTATGTAGCATAGAAATAGCTCCCTTGCGTAGCTAATTTGGTTTGAGTAACTTTGTTAGTCACATTGTTTAGTTTGTGTAGCTAAGTAATTTGCGCTATCTAATTCGGCATTAGTTGCCTTATTGTTGAGCATTGCTAGTGAGTTTAGGTGGCTTTGTGCTTTTGCTTACTAGATTGTGTAGGAGCTCCCTCGGTTGTGTGAAGTGCTAGTTGCATAGATTTGTGTGACCTTATAAGCTAGATTGGTTAGGTGAGCTCTAACTAGCTCGGCACCTTTGTTGTCTAATTAGAATCTTTTTAAGGTGCTTGAGAACTTAGATAGAGGGGTGTAGTCTTGGCTAGACCGATAGTTTTAATTCCGCATTTGTTTCGGTTAGCCAACGCGATTAAATTTAGAAATGACTATTCATCCTTCTCTAGTCTGCCATATCGACCCTACACCAGCGTACGCCCAGGAGCAGGTGTAGGCCTTCCCTTCCTGCAGTGTTGTCTTTGGCCAGCTGCGGTGTACGCCATGGCCGCGACGACATGAGGTGGATGGGAGGCGCGGAGGAGCACGGGTTGGGGCCGAGTGTGGCGCACCCATGCTAGAGAGGGCCGTGATGGCCGGAGAAGGTGAGCGTCACGGTGGATGCGCCAGCTGTGGTCACATGCGTCAGTGGGGAAATGAAATGTCATTGTCTTTTCGAGAACCGTGAAACACTTAAGGTGGAGTGAAGCAGGCCTGTTGGGCCCGATGGCTGCGTAGACCCGAGGACGAGCCATCTGGATGGATATGCCTAGATGGACACCCCCAGCAGAGAATTTCTGAATGAGGAAAGCAAGATGACGATGATCATGCCCAGGCCAGCTTCTAATGTATCATGACTAAACGCCCTGTCAACCTTAGAGCCATCCGAAGACCAGGGGAGTCCACCGCTCATATTCATCTCCGGTTGTTTTCTCTTACTGTCCCTTGACAGCCAGCGAGTCGAGCAACTCTAGCAGGGCTCCAAATTTTGAGTGCTAAAAAAGTTCAAAACGATTTCTACTAAAAATGAGAGGCAATCAAATCATCACCCTCGACCCTTATTCCTAGGGACTCTCCACCCTATACCTACTCAGTTGTTGGAGCGGTTTTCCACCCGTGTGGCTCCTCTCCTTCTGAGCGGGATCCAACTCACCTGATGGATCTCCCTCGGTAAGATGCGTGGCTCCTCTCCTCATGGCTAGATCTCATCCACTCCTCGCGGCGACCTAAACCGCTCCTCCTTGTTTCCCTCCCGGTGAAGCCACCCTGATGAGATCCTGGCTCCTCCTCCCTGTGACCTTGGCTCCTGTGTGGCTCCTGAACTCCTCTCATCAAAAATAAAAGGGGCTATGATTTTAGGTCCTTTTTGTTTAAGATGTAGTTTTTTGTGTTTGCCTCAAAAGCTAGCTTTATGACTTTTTGGTTCCTGGCTGTTTGACTTTTTAGTATTGATATTTGTAATAATATTTTAGATTCTCACCTTACTTTTCAACTTTTCTAAATTACCTTTTTAGCTTTTTAAAACCCAGTCCAATAAGAACACCACCAACATAACTGTTAGCCTCATCAAAATCTACAATATACATTAGCAAGGAAACAATGAGACCAGCGGCGAAGCCATAGTGCATGTGTCGGGGTCATACGACTCCGATAACTTTGTATGAATCAGTGGAACCCCACGTATTTCAGCCAGCTACGACCCCATCAGATTGAGTTCATAAATCTGTGCGACCCCGACAGCAGTTTAGTCTAGATTCACCGCTGAATGAGACTCTTAACCTTCCAACCTAGGCGTACATGCACTAAGGCATCTTTTAGTCGTGGCCCCACATTCTTTTCAAGATGATATGCATACATGCTCGTGTACGCATGCCAGGGATATCTCCCATCGCTCTCCAACGCGAGACCGAGCAGACGCTTCAGAGCACTCACTATCTCTTTAAGCCACTCTGAGACCATATCTTCTTGCTTTTTTGTTGTCCTAACCTACATGGCATGACAAGGCTAACATCCACATGGAGCATTGGGCATGGCCTAAGACTGTCTCCAACGGCCTATGCACAACGGTATCCATACCCAAAATGCATGACGCACAATAGAAAAAATGACTCCAACTGAGTACGCAAATCAGCTACCTATTTTGCCTACGAAGAGAGAGGGAACCCAAAAAAGGGTCGTTCTCTCTCCACGACGCATCTCCAGCCGGCGTGCCAGGAAGGGGAGGTCGCGCGGGTTCGCAGGCGGGCGGCCAAGCTCCGCCGCCCCATCACCGGCCACTGCTCCTTCACCGGCCGCGCGAGGTCCCAGATCTGGCTGCGCAAGGTCCGGCTCCTCCCCTCCCCGGCGGCATGCGGGCCTCTGCCCCCTCACCGGCCACTGCTTCTTCCCGGCGGCGTGCGAGGTCCTTCCCGGCGGCGGCGCGAGCTCCTTCCCCTTGCCCGGTGCGAGCTCTTCCCATGGCCAGCGCGGGCTCCTTCCCCATGCATGGCGCCGTGCGCCGGTTCGCCGAGGTCTACGGGAAGGGGATTTGCGTTCTCTTCACCGTTGGAGAAAGATAAGTTTTGGGTGGGAATGCTTTTACTGTGCATGACTCAAAGGTGGTGTATTTTGGGTGATCTCATTGGAGATAATCTAACTAATCCATTTGTCGCCCCGTTCGCTGGTCTAAAACTTGGCTGAAATTGGCTGAAAAATACTATTCCGACTGAATTATTGTAAAAAAAACATAATTCCAACTAAAAAAAAGCCGAACAAACTAAATATGGGACAATCCGAACGGGACCATTCTAACTTTTGCTGTCGTCGACAAACATACCTCTAGGGCCTCGTACCGGGAGATGCTCTAAGGTTGTCAGTCTATGGGACACACCAGTCAGGGACTCAGCATCATCAGCCAAGGCGAGCGTCGAAGTATTAGCGGACGCGGGGTCGGGAACTCTCCTGTTTTCACCCGAAGTTCCGAACGATAAACGCACGAGGAAAGGGGAGGCGGAACCACGAGAAATTGGTTCTCCTCTGCGATTCAGCCCGGCGAACGCTCGCTTGAGTTGGAGATAAGCTTCGATTCCACCGTCCCAGACTCCCAGTGGATTTGGGACTGCGATGGAGGAGCAGTTCATCCTCCGCGTGCCGCCATCCGTGGCGGAGCGGATCGAGCGCCTCATGAATGAATCCGCCGCTGCCTCCTCCAACCCTGACGAGGCCTCCCTCGACCTCTCATTCTCAGGTTAGGTTCCCTAACCCCCCCGTCTTCTCGCCCTCGAATCCTACTCCCTGTCTGCGAAAACCTAGCGTGTGCTAGGCCAGTAACCCCCTTTGGAAACCGCTGCTCATGAATTCGCTGCTTGGGGATTACATGTCCGTAGGCTGTTAACGGAATACGGAAGTCAGGTCAGGTGCGGCGGGGGGCTTGCAAAGGCGCCGAGAACGCTGGTGGCGCTCTCTGGTCCAGATTGCCGCAGCTCGCGGGGAGTTTGGCTTGGGCGTGCCGGGGTCCTGCCCTTAGAATTCTTAGCACGCCTAACTGTTCCGTTCTTTGCAATAGTTGGAACAGAGGACGCTGTTAACCAATTAGAGGCCAGAGATCAGTAGATCACAGGGTACACTGTGCCCGTCCTGCTAGGTGACTTAGCTTGCTCCACATTTTGTGGTGATAGGTTTATGTGTGGCGTTAGACTGTTAATGTATTATTCAATTGGTGTTGGGATTATTGACTTAGCATGGATCAACTTGCCCGTTCATTTAAGAGATTGTTCATCTGGAAATTCCTTAAAGAGCTCAAGTATGTATATGCTTTTATTCCATCAGAATAATAGGGCTGTTTCATAATCTACAGTCGAAGCAAACCTAAACAGAATATTCCAAGCTTGTGTTCTGGTTCATGGCAGCAGTTTCTGCAATCCGATTGCTTTACCTTTAGATAAGCCTTGATATTTTTTTTAATGAGATAAGCCTTGATGTTAATCACGTATGGAAGATCCATGTACTATCGGATGAAATGGTCAACATGTAGCAGCGGATGTAATAATTTAATGGTGAATAATTAAAGTTTAGGAATGCAAATGTTGTGCTCCATGCTTTTGTTAATTGTGCTTTTGCAAATCATGTTTCCCTGTGTTTGATGATTTCTCTCTTTTCCTGTGCTTAATGCAGCCCAATTTCTGATCCAGATGAAATCATGAAATAATTAGATTGCTATTGGTAGTCTTAGAAATAAAGAGCAGTAATTATATGACTCCAAAGAGTTGAAGCTGTTTCATAATTCATAGTGGGCATGCTAAGTCCTTATTATAAAGCTTTTAGCTTGAGAGTTTTTTTGAGGATTTTTTAGCTTGAGATTTGAGACAAAGATGATATGATTCATTGGATATGACATCCATTATGTGCATTGGTGCTTATTTGGTACAGTTTTCTCCTCTTAGTGACAGTGAAACACTATGACCCCTCTTATTTGTGAGCATACAACTTGAAACATTTGGAACTTTTGTGACCTTGTGGGTTGATGAGATATTCCTTCGTACAGAGGATGGAAGAAATGGTACATTTATGATCGGTAATGAGAGCTTTCCTGCGTCTCTCTTGGATCTACCTACTGTGGTGGAGTCGTACAAAACATATGATGATTCTGTACTAATTAAAACTGCTGATGTTGGTCAGGTAAAAGTGCAAGTTTACTGTATCACTGTATGCCACCTATTTATTAAATTTCAATCTTAAAATCATCCGCTGAAAAACAAATTGAAACAGATGATTATGGTAAGAGAAGAAAATGATCCTGCTCCAGAAGGAGTTGAATACAAGCATGGGCTTACTCCTCCAATGAGGGATGCACGCAGGCGACGTTTCCGCAGAGAACCAGACTTGAATGTATTAAAATTAATTGCCTTCTAGCTCCGTTCGGTACCCAAGTTCATGTTCATAGAAACACTTTTAGGTGGAACCCTGATTCTTCCTTGTACAATTTTGCAGGCAGAGCTGGTTAACCAAGTTGAGCAGCATCTTATCAATATCATGCATGGAGTATCTGTCAGTATCCTTTTTTTTCACCTTCCATTTACTAAATTCTAGCTTGTGTAGTTGTGTTGTATTCTAGCAGCTGGACAAAATGGTATATAATATTTTTTTACTATTTAATTCTTAGGTTTTCTCAGTATTATTTGGTTACTAATGTTAGTTGACAAATGGTTTGTCTACATGGGGTTCCCTCCAGTTATGTTTCTGAATTGGTTGCTTAAAACATCCATAAGTCAATGTGCATTTGGTTTGTTGGTTGAAGGAGTCTATAAGTTTCACCGTTTTTTTCCATGTAAATGTGCATATTTCCTTGACTATCAATAGATCAGAATGCCAGTGTGATAGGAGGTGAAGAAGGTGGTGATCGTAAGAAACCTCCAGTAGCTCGTGCAACCAAGCAGCCAGATGTTCAAGAGCCTGCTGTGAATGGAGAGGAAGCAGAACCTGAGAGGAGTGACACTGATGAGTCAGAGAACTGAAGTGGACCTCATTCGAGTGCGGCCGCAGTGGTTAGTTCCAGTATCATATAGGGATAACACTTCCTATCTAATAGTTTAGTTCCACATTTCTTTGTAGGAGTAATTCATAACCGGACCCCTCCTCCTCTTTTTATACAGAAACATGGGGTATGTGGCATTGATTAAAAACTATAAGATGGTTGAAAAAAATATCTACATTTGTGTCTTTTGTTCAATTTAATTTTGTGTGATTGAGCACTGCATTCGTGGGAATGCAATGGTCATCTTGTTTATATTCTGTGATTTGAGTACCCATCTGGACTAGGTCTTGGCAGAACAGTCAGATTAACACTCAACTGGGCTTAACAAACTTCCAACTGGTTATGATCTTGTGACACAATCCTCATTTACGTACGCACATATAGGTACGGATTATATTAAACTCATGGGCGTTATTGACTCTAGCATGTATAGTAAAATTTGAATAATACCTCTGCTGTGGAATGGGTCTATATAGAAAAATAGATGACAATAGATGTGTAAACATAATTAATAAAATGGACTATAAATGTCACGAGAAAAAATATTTTAGATTATTGGGTGGTTATTGTTCCATACTAGCAATTAGACATGCTTTCCTATCTTGTACTCTTGTGACCAGCCTCAACTTTAGTATTATCTCTGGAAAAAAAATACTTGATACATTTAACTTTGCATGGTCTTCGGTGTGTATTTCGATCGCAAAAATTTTTAGGTTATATTCTTAAAATCCTTTAAATATAAGATATTTTGCAAGTATTTTGAATACAAACCTACATATATAACCTACGCATGATCAAACTAAATAATATAATAGTTATTATTGATTGTAGGTTTTGAGCTTTGACTAAATCTTGTCCTAAATGACTCTAAATAATATAATAGTTATTGTTGTTTGTAGGTTTTGAGCTTTGACGAAATCTTGTCCTAAAAGACTAAATAATATAATACTTATTGTTTTTTTTGTAGGTTTTGAGCTTTGACGAAATCTTGTCCTAAAAGACTAAATAATATAATACTTATTGTTTTTTGTAGGTTTTGAGCTTTGACTAAATCTTGTCCTAAAAGACAAATTTTTGTGACCGGAGGGAGTACGCAGACTACATGATAAGATTTGACTCAACGGGGAGTACACAAATATAATTAAGATGTGCTTACTAAGTTTGCTATCATCCCGCATGCTAGTGCACTTGTTTTATCCATCACCTCCAATCCAAAGCCAAAATCTCATGCATGTTCATATAAGTCGGGAGCAGCTTTCCCATGGCGCCTACATATTACCTCATATGGTTAGAAATTTAGGCCCATTTCTCTTCCCAATTGGTAGCAAAATGTGTATACTAATTGAGACTACCTAGTCAGATTAAAGCCTCTATTACCGAAGCAAAGCAACAGAATTAAGGTTGCTAGTCAGATTGAATTAAAACCTGCCCACTTTTATTCATACTTTCATAGCATAGAAGACATCAGACGATACTTGTTACACACCTCGTCCCGTTGCGAGGTATCAGAATGGATACCAAGTTTTTGTGATTCTCTCCTCCAACCGAAGACTTCTGCCACCATTCTTGTAGTTTCATCTTGCTTCTTGTTCAAGTGTACAGCTATGCCAGGTCCACATGACTGGTGACGCTCCTCTCCCCGTGGTCGAGGACGTTGCTGTGCATGTACCTGTTGCAAGAAAGTGAAGCGGTTTTCACATTCCGCGGTTGTATTTATCATTTTCTTTCTTTTTTCTTGGTTGTGGAGCTTTTAGCTTAAGTTCACAGATTACTCTTGAATCTCTGTGCTACGTAGCCATTGCTTGCTTATACGCTTTCACGCCATCAAGTCGGAAGGAGAGGACTCTTTCCGGAATATTTGTTTCTCTGCTTGCCGTAGTGATTGTCTTATCAGTGGCCAATGACAAGCGCAGCAACGCTACCGTGGCTCTGGCAGTGTACTGCATATGGAAGCTTCGTTCTCGTGGCTGCACAGAAGCACCTGCTGCTGATGCGGAGGTGCCACTTGCACCGGTGCAGGAAGAAGCAAGATGCAGTGCTCCCGTGCAGCAGGCCATGCTCCACCTCCACACCGAGGATCTGCCACGGTGTAGTAGTACTCCGGTGCAGGTGCAGCAGACCACGATCCACATCGAGCAACTGCCACGGAAGTTCACGTACAACGAGATCCGAGCCGTCACCGGAGACTTCGGTACCATGGTGGGTCGCGGCGGCTCCGCCGAAGTCTACCGAGGCCGCCTCGACGACGGCAGGGCGGTCGCCGTCAAGCGGATCACCAGCGACAAGCCTGTCGGGGAGACTGACTTCCTGAGAGAGATCTCCATCGTGGCGAACGTGCACCACCGCAGCCTGGTGCGCCTCCTCGGCTACTGCGTCCTGCGCGGGGGCAGCAGCCAGTACCACCTGGTGTACCCGTTCTTCGAGAACGGGTCGCTAGACTGGTGGCTGTTCCACGGCGAGGAGCGGAGGCGCCTCCTGCCGTGGCCGACGCGGCGCCGCATCGCCGTCGACGTCGCCAGGGCGGGGCGCTCGCGTACCTCCACCACGAGTGCCACCTCCAGATCCTGCACCTCGACATCAAGCCGGCCAATATCCTCCTCGACAGCGGCCTCCGGGCGCACGTGTCGGACTTCGGCATCTCCATGTCCATCGCCCAGGACGGTCGGAGCACGGTCGGGTACATGGCGCCGGAGATGCTTGTCAGCTCACTGTCCGCCAAGTCCGACGTGTACAGCTACGGCATGATGCTCCTCGAGCTTGTCGTCGGGCGCCGAAGCGTCGACCCCGGAAGCGCCGCCTCGTCCGAGACTGCGGACCTCTTCGCCCGTGTTGTGCGGGATAAGATGGTGCGAGGCGAGCTAGTGGAGCTGGTGGACACGGCCATGGCGCACGTGGACGTGCGGGAGGTGGAGGTGGCTGTGAAGGTGGCGCTCTGCTGCATCCAGCATAGCCGTGACGTGATCAGGCCCAGCATGCTTACTGTTTTGGACATGATTGAAGGCCGTGTGGCAGTCGATCTGCCGCTGGGCCGGGGACGTCCGTCTCCGTTGCGGATTTCATGGAACCACTTTCCTCGCCAGTCGCGCGTTATCGGTGATAAATAACCCCTAATATTCAGACCTATATAGATAGATGGACTAAAGTGAACTTCGGCTGGTAAGGCTCCGTTTGGTTGAGCTTTTTAAACTGCTTTTTCGTTTGCAAAAGCTAAGAGTCATTCAAAGGAGTCAAAAGTGACAGTTGCTTTAAACCAAAAGCTGCTTTTGCTATAGTACAAAATTAAAAGTAGCCTAACCCCTGCTTTCAGTTGCTTTTGGGGTAAAAATTACCCACCTGCCACTGATTTTGAATAAAACGTTTCGTTCCTAAAAAAAAGAAAACGTTTCGTTTTTCTTCGTTTTCTATTCCATCCGCATCCCCTGCGCTCCCGACTTCACCATCTGTGGCGGCGGGCGTTGCTCCTGCCCCGGTTCTAGTGGTCACGGGCGCGGCCGAAAACTGAGCGAGCGAGCTCCGTCGCAAGATCCGGCGGCGTCCCCGGAGGCGTGGGATCCAGCACCGAGGCGTGGCCCCGTCGCACGGAGGCGCGGCCCCGTCGGTGCATGGACGGCGGACGGGAAGGGCACCACCGCACCAGCTCCAGCGGACGGGAAGACAGATGGGCACCAGCGCCGGCGGACGGGAAGGGCACCTGCTCCGAGCTCCGTCATCTCGATCCGCGCCGGGCACCTGCTTCGAGCTCCCTCATCTCCATTAAGTGGCGGTCGGATGCGAGCTCCCTCATTGTCGGGGACCAATACTAGGTACCCGAAGAGGAGGAGCTAATGGTCATCAATATTGATTCATCCGAGCAGTCAAGAGCGCGACTACAGCTCCAACCGACCCCCAGGTGCGCGGGCTCCGCCTCGCCCGACCTCTGGGGGCGGGCTCCGCCTCGCCCGACCTCGAGGCCACGATCTTCGTCTCGCCCAACCTCTAGGGGCAGGCTCCGCCTCGCCCGACCTCGAGGCCACGAGCTCCGCCTTGCTCGACCTCTGGGGGCGGGCTCCGCCTCGCCCGACCTCGAAGCCGTGATCTCTGTCTCGCCCGACCCCGAGGCCACGGGCTCCGCCTCGCTCGACCCTTGGGTTTGTGTTCCGCCTCACCCGACCCCAAGGCCACGGGCTCCGCCCCGCCCGACCCCTTGGATGCGGGCTCCGTCACACCCGACGGGGACCCATACCGCCGCCAACCACTGCAGGTCCAAGCGTATGGGCTTGGGTCAAAACTCTGACACCAAGGAAGAGACCGGCACGCCTCGATGTAACCCGTGGCCATGACGGGCCATACTTGAGGATTCACATCAAGAACAGCGTCGGGCGTGTCGGTGCTGTTCTGCCTAACCCTCGTACGAACGCTGATAGGCGCGTTAGTTCACCACGATGCCCGCCGGGACGGAATGGGACGCCATGACCGGCAGACGCCGCATACGCATGGCGTCAGTGACGAATAGGGCCACGATATGGAGCCATCCCTGTTGACGTATACAGGATCGGCGGGACCCACATGAAGGAGAAGAAGGACCCGACAGTCCTGGCAGCCTTCTTCTCTCTCTCGTTCTTCTCCTTTTCCTCCGCTGTAACCCGCGCTTTCCCTTGGCCTATAAAAGGAAAAGCAGGGCGTCCCATGAAGGGGATTGACCCATCGAAAACCGATCAGATCTAGATCCGCACAAAAGCATGACACGAACACACGGCTGAGCAGCGTCCGAGTTCTCAGCACCTGTTCATTCCTTTCACCAGAGACTTGTGATCCTCTCCCTCGCTTGCCTGTTTGTAACCCCTATTACAAACTTTTAGTGCTAGTAATATGAGCAGCAGCAACTAACTAGACGTAGGGACTTTCTGCCCAAACCAATATAAACCTCGTGTCCTCTAAGCACACCATCCGAGCCAGATGCGCAATACTACAAATTTACTCATCGGTGGTAACTCGAAACACTGACAGTTGCCGTGCTAGGTAGAGGCTGAAAGGATCAAGATGCCCAAGAGGGGGGGTGAATTAGGCTAATTCTAAATTTCTTCTCAATAAACAAGTCCTATGGTTAGCCCAATTAACCCCTTGTGCCTAGAGAAATGTTTCTATTGATCTAACGCACAAAAGTTTAGCAACCTAGTTCTAATCCTACTCTAGCATGACAATTCTAGGAATGTAAATGACAAGAATTGAAATGCTCAAAGTAAAGAGAGGAGAGGAAACACGGCGATGTTTTGCCGAGGTATCGGAGAGTCGCCACTCTTCACTAGTCCTCGTTGGAGCACCCGCGCAAGGGTGTAGCTCCCCCTTGATCCGCGCAAGGATCAAGTGCTCTCTATGGGTTGATTCTTTGACACTCCGTCGTGGTGAATCACCCACAACCGCTCACAACTTGAGTTGGGTCATCCACAAGCTCTCCGGATGATCACCAAGCTCCCAATCACCACCAAGCCGTCAAGGTGATGGCGATCACCAAGAGTAACAAGCACGAATTCTCACTTGACCACAACAAGCCTAGGGAGAAGGGTGGATGCACACTTTGCTACTCTTGATCTTCACTAATGAGGGCTCTCTTTGGATTCTCAAATCTCAATCACCTTACTAGGACCTTTGTCTTCTTGGCACTCTCTAAGGTGTGTTTCAGCTGTTGAAATGAGCAAAAGTCACTCCACACACGAGTGGAGCTTCTATTTATAAGACAGCCTGAAAAACGAACCGTTATGTGCCTCTGCGGGGTGACCGGACGCTCCGGTCATTTTGACTGGACGCTCCGGTCAGTTCAACCCGCACACCAGTGATTAAGAGTTGACCGGACGCTAGCAGGGTCCGATCACCACTGACCGGACGCGTCCAGTCCCATTTTTCCCTCACTGGATGCTTACTGTACTCGACCGGACGCTGAACCCCCAGGGTCCGGTCAGCACTGACCGGACGCGTCCGGTCGCAGATTCTCTTCTCAAGAACCTTACTGGAGTCGACCGGACGCTGGCCCTCAGCGTTCGGTCATTTGACCTCTCCAGCGTCCGGTCAAACCGGACTGGTTCACCTCAGTCAAATGAACTGACCGGACCCTGCGGCCAGCGTCCGGTCGCACCGGAGCCAGCGTCCGGTCAGTCTTTGACCCTCCATTCACTTCCAACTCTCGATCATTTGTGAATGAAGTTTGCTCCAAAGGATCTTAGGCATATTTAGGAGCTACCTAGTGCTAATTTTAACAAGTGTGCACCACACCTAACTCACTAGACTCACCTAGGTCAAGCTACCCGTCCATACCCCCCTTAATAGTACGGCCAAAGGAAAAACAAAGTCCTAAACTACTCTAAGTGTCTCTTCAACTCCAAACGACACTTAGAACTAGTCATCCTTAACCTTGTCGTCCATCCTTTGAAAACCGAAACGATATCCATCGTAGGGGCATGACATCCACGATTGTCCAATCGATCTCCATTACCGTGACCTAACTTAATTGCCTCTGCAAAATACATGTTAGTCACAGTAATCTTTTATTGTCATTAATCACCGAAACCCAATTAGGGGCCTAGATGCTTTCAATCTCCCCATTTTTGGTGATTGATGACAATACAACCTCGAGTATGTGAAAGAGTTGAGGTTTTTAACATGCTTGGATCATGTAAGCTTTTAGCAATAAGAACAAAAGAGTTAGTCAAGCTTATATAACCCAAGCCATCATGATGTACTCAAATGATATGAAATAAGCATGAGTACAATAAGAAAGACTCATTTGCATCGGAGTAAAAACGCGGAAGCAAAGGCAAATGAGCATAGCTCAAGTGATATGACATATTAAAGAATTCAAAGTAGAGAGCACACATGCATGTCATATATCACAATCACGTAGATATCACTATCACATAGATAAAATAGTATGCATGAAAGTAAACACATGAATGCATAATAGTAATAGTGTATCACACAGATAAAACTCCAAATGTATATAAGAGACTAATAGCTAACTAGCTCCCCTAAATGTCGCTCCCCCTGAGTCTACATACTCGAACCCTCTCCTCCTTTGGCGTCAAACACCAAAACCTAAGGGCTGGTCAAAGGGGCTACAGCGGACGAGTCGGGCGCTGAAGAACAAGGAGCAAGCTGAAACTGGGCGGCATCATCATCTGACCCTAAGCTCTGTGCTGACTGACCCTCTAAAGCAGGAAGTGTCGCTGAAGCGGTCTGGGTCTGAGCTAGGGCAGGAGCTGCCTGTGATGCTGCTGGTACATCTATCGTAGGATCTGATGATGCGACAGAAGAAGGGAGCCTTTGAGTAGTCACGACGATAGGAGCTGCTGTAGAATGACCTGGGGCATGCATATGTGGCGGTGTAGGCATCCCTGTCAACTCGCTGAAAGATGCTCCACGACTCCTGGAGACTGACGTGTCAGGCACAAATAGCGAGGATGACTGATCCGGTGTGAAGCCCGTCTGAAGTTGTATGAACTGCGGGGCTACCACTGGCGAGGATAACCACTGGGACACCTGTACTGGGGGAGAAGCAAACTGAGCTAGAGGCTGTCCCTGACTCTAAAGCCCACTGGGCTGTACTGCTGGAGTCGTCGTAGTGGTGGCAGGCTGAGCAATCTGGGGCGAAGGCTGTGGCTGTGGGGCCCCAAGAGCTATCACTACATGCTGCATGAATCCCATAAGCTACTGCTGCATGAGTAACTGTTGCTGATGCATCTGCTGCTGCTGCTGGAGGACCTGCTGCTAGCGCTGGAACTCGTCCTGACGAGCCTAAAACTGTGCAAAGTTGGCAGCGGTCTCCTGAGCCTGTCGTGCCTGATCCTGCTGCATCCGCTCAAGAATAGCAATGAGAGCGGGGTCCGTCTACGGTGTAGGTGGAGCTAAGTTGGAACTATCGGCCTCTGCATCATGTCTACGTGGAGGCATCTGAGGAATAGGCAGGTAGTCATCATCAGAACTGTCACTAGACTCACTCCTGTCCTACTGAGCCTCAAGCTGCTCCTCCTTAGTAGCTACTATGCCTCTGATAATCTCGTCCTGCTGAGCTATGAACTCTGGTACATCTGGGCGACGGTGAGGCTAACTGGGTGCCTAAGGAGTGCTATGTCTG